TGTACAGGAGAGGACCCCCATCAATCAGGCCATCCAGAGATTCTGGGGGCCTCTACATACTCTTTCTCTCCCTAGGAAGAAGTAAGAAGCTGTGATGTTTGCCCAATCATTCTGTGCTGAGCTGGGGATGGGGAATTATGGCATCTACCAGTCCAAGCCATTGTCTCTGTTCTCCCCCAGGTGTATAGACTGTGCCAGACCTGTCAGAGCTCTAAGACTATCAAGTCAGCTGCAAGTTCTTTGGGCAGTCCCAGCAAAGTTGGGGTGTTGGATACATGGATCAACTCTTTCCTTTCCCACAGGGAAGCTGAGGGCTGGGACTTTTTCATCTTCTTGCTCTATGCTGAACAGAGGCAGGGATCTATGGTGTCTACCAGCCCAAGCTACCATCTCCATTTCCATTGGGTGGCTAGACTCTGCTGTGCCTGTCAGAGCTCCATGACAGGCAAGATAGAAGCCAGTATTCTGGGGAGCCCCCTCAGGAAATTTGGGGTGTAGAATGTGTGAACCACCCCCTTCTCTCCCCTGGGTGAAACTGGTAGCTAGAACGTCTCTCACTGATCCTATGGTGTTGCAATGAGGACCAGGACTCTGGTGACAGGGTGTCCCCTATCTCCCTACAGGTTTTGGTGAGTCTGGTTTTGCATTCTCCTGGGGTGCAGAAGCCTCTCAATTAGCTCCTGGATTTCTCACAAAGGGAATTTTTCCATGAATGGCCAATCAGTGTGTTTGTTGGGGGAAAGAGGGTCCAGCACATCCTACTTCACCATCTTACTGACATCCCACTTGCACATATCTTAAACTGCTTATATTCGCCTATAGGTCTCAAGGATCTCTTCTTTTCTTTCAGTCTTTTTCTCTCTGTGCTTCATTTTTCATGATGTGTTTTCAAGTTCATTGAATTTTTTCTTTCATTGTATTTTAATTTCCAGTAAAATTTTCTTCTTGGACGTATTTCTCTTCTAGAAGTTCCATTTTGTTCTTTTATATAGCTTCCATTTCTGTCCTCATTATGTTTATGGTTTTTAAAAAAAAAAATCTGCAGCATATTGAGCATAATAGCTTCTTTAATAATGTTATGCTAATACCATTTTCCCTGCCATTTCAGTCTGGGCCAACAGATTGATTTTTCCTGGTTTTGTATCACATTTTTTGGCTTCTTTTTATAGATACTGGACATTGTGAAATTTACAGTGTTTTATAGTGGCTGTTGTTACATTTTTTTTTTTTTTTTTTTTTTTTAGAGTATTGAGCTTTGCTCTGCAGGCAGTTACGTTTCTTGAAAATTGGCTTGATTCTTTTGAAGCTTTAAAAAAGCAGTTTAGGACAGGTCTGAGGTGTTTGTTTTAGAGATAGTTTAGCTCTTCTCCTAATCTGTGACTCTTCTGGGCTATCTACTGAATAGTATGGGTGATCATCAGAGTCAGAATTAGAACATCTCTTTGCCCTGTGTCAGCTCTGGGCATTTTCCAACTTGCAGCTCCCTGATTACACTTTGCTGAGTCTTGTAGGATCACACCCTACACATGTACTACTTAATATTAGGAAAGACTAAAGATGACCGTTGTGCACATTTCTGAAACTCTTCTCTGCACAGCTCCCTTCTCTCTGGAACTGTCCTACAACTTCCAGGCATGTCAGTCTCTTTGATCTCCATCTTCTCAACACAGTAAGACCAGCATGCTCTGCTTGGGACAACCTTTCTCATTATCCAGAAGGAACGTGCCTCCAGGTAGAAAGTTGGTGTGATTGTAGTGCTCACCTCATTTTTTTCTCTTCTGTCAGGGATCACAGTCCCTGTTCAAACTTGTCATTCCATCATGGCTCCAAAGGAAGTCCATATTTTTTGCCCCTGGTGATGGTACGGGGAATGAGACTCACATACATTAATGAGAATGTAAATTGACTTTTTCAAAATTTGGCATAATCTATTAAAAATTTTAAATGTACACATAATTTGACTTAGCAGTCTAGTCTGTAGGAATATATTCTATAGAAATAAAAACACCAACATGCAAGAATAAGCATGTAAGGATATTTATTGCACTACTTTACAGCAACAAAGAAATAACCTGAATACTCAGCTTGGGGGGAATGAGTAAGATGATATATTATGGCATTGCTGTTACTATGTTCCTGTTTTATTCTGTAGGTATTTTTAAAAAGTCAGAAAAGCAAGGTGCACAAGAGACATACCAACCAAATGCAATGTGCAGACCTCATTTATATCCTGTCAAATAAACCAACTATGGTCATTAACATCTGAAATATTAGTGGATAATAAGTCCTTATCTGTTCAAGATACATACTGAAAAATGTAGAAGGGAAATGATATAATATACTGGTTTGGCTTTAAAATATCCCAGCCAAAAATATTTGGAAGAGAAACAAGACAGGCAAAAAATGGGTGATTATTAAAAATATGTGATGGGTACATCACTGTTCATTTTACTGTCCTATTTTTATATGTTTGAAATTTTCTACAATAAAAAGTTTAAAAAAATAAAGCAAGTTACAGTTAAATGGGTAGTTATCTCATTAAAAGACACTCTTTTTAGACTCAAATGTGGACCATATTTGAGAACAGAAGAAAATATCAAAAGATAATATCCAAAGTTTTAATAGTAGACAGGTGGGAAATAGTGAAGGTGATTTTTTAAAAAATTTTCTTTGGTATGGGGTAAACTTTATTATGTAACTTTGTAAGAGGAATGTAATGACTTTTGAAAAGAATTATATGCATGTAAGGAAAATAAAGGTTAATTTTGAACAGTTATGATATTATCAATATGTCTTAAAGTAGCAACTAAGCGGTATTGCAGCCCCAACTTCTGTTTGTCTTTAGTAATCCTTTGATTAGTGTACATTCCTACCCCCTCCCAACTACCTGAACAGGGAAACTCTGTTTCAACACTTGGTTTATGAAATACACATAACAATGCTGATAATCAATATTCACTCGTTTCTTTTGTTAAACAATCTTGCAACAGCAGCATCAAGAATAAAATCCTTACTAAATTCATTTTGATGATGAGGGAGTAGGGAAAGGGTTGTAAAAACTTGAGCTAGAAAGGTTGTCCCTGAATAGTGTAGTGACTAATTGTAAAAAAGAAAAGTACTACACCACACACAAAATTTAATTAACTGCCATAATGCTTTAAATTTCCTCTTATAATTATTCTTTTTGGTCAAGAATGGATTTCTCAAAGTGTGTTTACAACCCAAAGATATTAAGTATTATGGAAGAGAAGGAATTCATGGTCAAGACTGGGAAACAATGAGTTAAATAAAGGTAATATTTTTTTTTATTGCAGGTCTTCTCACAACCTTTTAATTTGGCTTGTCCAAAGTGGAATTCATTGTGCCAATAAGGGAATTTGGTTACACACTGCCTTATATGCAATGAGGCAGAAGCCTCTTCTCCAATATTTTGGAGATTATTATTTCTTGAACATATTTTGGGAAAGTCTGGCTCAGGGTATTTTCTGTAAAAGACTGCTACCATGCAAATATGTTACTTGGCAGAAGTATTATCAATGTAGTATACAACAGTCTACTTACATTTCATTATTATATTTTCTTTAAATTTAGTTTGGCAATAATGGTAATCCCTGAATCATAAGTGACTAAGCAATGATGGCATAGTTCAGTGCTCTGCTCAGTTCAACCTGAGCAGAGAATACATGACTGCATTAGCACTGCATTGGCATCACAGTAGTTACACTAATGAGTCACAGAGTTTCTAATGGTTCTCAATCATCCAATCACCTTTATCTTTTTGTTGCAGTTTTCAAAATGGTGAGTTAACATTTAGAATACATATGTAAAACCACTGTTTTTCAGAGTGGGGTAATGAACAGTATTAAGTTGTGAAGACAAGTGAGTGGGCTGCAGTGTTTATTACAGACAATGTAATATAAAACAGCAGTGTATCACATATAGAAAAGGTAAGTATTGTCTTGGGAACTTTTGTTTCAATTATTCTATCAATGGCTTTTATTTTATTATTACTTACTATTGTATTCTTTTATTTTACTAATTATTTGTGTCCATCATGTGGTAATACATTTCATTATTTACCGTCATAGTATTTGTTTCTCAAGTGTAGAAAGAAAACATAATTTATACTTTATAATGTTCAAAATCATTGCATGCACAAACATATCTAATTAATTACTTGTTAACTGGGTTTTAAATATTTTATATTATTCAAAAATCCCTGAGAGAAGTCATGTAGGTGGTTTCTGTTGAATTTAAATTGTATTTGGGAAAACTGGTTAGGGTATTTGAATGGGCTGGAAACATTATCATTTTTCCCATTTACAAAATAATGGAATGTAAGCTCTGATATTTGGGCATCTGAAAATTGACTATTCAATGTATTATCAGGAATGGGTTAGAATCAGATAATGAGGAAAAACTGTAGTGGGTAAATTTTGTTTTGATTTCTCATTTAAGACAATAACTTATAGTTGTTTTTTTTTTCATTTAATGGAGCTACTTTGGCTATCATTTTGTTGATAAATTCTTTTTTCCTTAAAGTAGTAATTAGAAAATGTAGAATAATGACTTCTGCTTTTGGAATTTTTTTTAATAGAAAAATCACCTCTCCTTGATTTTATTAAAAAGTTCTACAACCCTAAAGAAATTTCTTCCATAAAGATTCTTTCCAGTATGAATTTTCCAGTGCAGCAAAATTTATGAGCTCTGAAATGGAGGCCATCATACCCTTACATTCTAAAACTTTTGTCATAGAATAAATTATCTGGTGTTCAAAAAGGGATAGATGGTAATAGAATGCTTACGTCTTTTTATCGTACTCACAAAATATTCCTACCATTTGACTTCTCTAATAGCATTATAATAATGTTGATGATAGCAACGATAATAACATTGAGTATCAGATAATGTCCAAAGGGAGTTACATGTGTTTAATCATTTATAATTTAATCATAATACATATTATACAGTATTCATATAATACAGTATTTTACACATAAAGAAACTGAGGCACAGAGAACTTAAGTAACATCGAATTTCACAGTTAAGAAACGGTGAAATAGAGATGGTGCTCAATAAAGGATATAATTCAGCATTACATTCCAGGGTTATAAAGATTTTTTAAAAATGTTTAATGGGTTCCAGAAGTCATTTCTGCATTCATTAAGTTAATATAGGCTTTCTAAAACTGAGTTGATTTTGAGCACAATCCTACATTCATTATAAACATAACATATGTTCTCTAATATTCCAGAGCTGTTGAAGATAGGTGAAGGTTTCTTATATTAAATCACATTCAAGGCTTTCTCAATTATGAAGCCTCATGTGTTGAGTGAGTTGTGAATGACGTCGAAAGTCTTTACCACATTGGACACACGCATAGGGTTTCTCACCAGTATGGATCCTTTGATGTAGAGTAAGTTCTGAGCCACGACTAAAGGCCTTCCCACATTCCTTACATTCATAGGCTTTCTCACCAGTATGAGTTCTTAGGTGTTCAGGAAGGTGTGAGCCACGAATAAAGGCCTTCCCACATTGTTTACATTCATAGGGCTTTTCACCTTTATGAATTCTCTGGTGTTCACTAAGTTGTGAGCCATAAATAAAAGCCTTGTCACATTCCTTACATTTGTAGGGTTTTTCACCTGTATGAATTCTCTGATGATACATAAGTTGTGTGGCACGAAAAAAGGTCTTCCCACATTCCTTACATTCATAATGTTTCTCACCATGAATTTTCTCATGTTGAGTAAGATACGCACCACGAATAAAGGCCTTTCCACATTCCTTACATTCAAAGGGTTTCTCACCTGTATGAATTCTCTGATGTTCACTAAGTTGTTTGCCACAAATAAAGGCCTTCTCACATTCTTTACATTTGTAGGGTTTCTCACCTGTATGGATTCTCTGATGTTGAGTAAGATTAGAATTAGAAATAAAAGCTTTCCCACATGCTTTGCATTTATAGGGTCTCTCACCTGTATGAACTCTCAGGTGGTAAGTAAGTTGTGAGCCACGAAAAAAGGCCTTCCCACATTCTTTACATTCATAGGGTTTCTCACCTGTATGAATTCTCTGATGTTCATTAAGTTGGGAGGCACATAAAAAGGCCTTCCCACATTCTTTACATCTGTAAGGCTTTTCACCAGTATGAACTCTTTGATGATAAATAAGGTGTGAACCAAGAATAAAGGCCTTTCCACATTCCTTACACTCATAAGGTTTCTCCCCACTATGAATTCTCTGATGGTAAGTAAGTTGAGAGCCAAGAATAAAGGCCTTCCCACATTCCTTACATTCATAGGGTTTTTCACCACTATGAATTCTCTGATGGAGAGTATATTGTGAACAATAGCTAAAGGCTTTTCCACATTTCTCACATTCGTACGGTTTCTCTCCTGTATGAACTCTCTGATGTTCAGTGAGCTGTGAACCACGAATAAAGGCCTTCCCACATGCTTTGCATTGATAAGGTTTTTCATTAGTATGAATTTTCTGATGTTGAATCAGATCAGAACTACGACCAAAGGCCTTCCCACATTCTATACACTCATAAGGTTTCTCACCATTCTGAATCCTCTGATGTTGAATATAGTTTAGCTTTTTGCTGAAGGTCTTCCTACGTTTCTTAACTTCAGAGTGTTTCTCTTTATTATGATTTTTCTCATGTTGAATAAGGCATGACAGATAGCTGAAAGCTTGTTTACATTCCTTACATTTGTACAATTTTTCCTTGGTAGAATTGATCTGATCAAGAGTAGGGGACGTGGAAGGGCTTTGAGTGGCCTTTTCTTCACAGGTAATTTTCATGTGCATGTGAAGTCCTTCCTGACTTTTCTGTTGACCCTCAAACTTGCCTTTGCGCTCCATATCATCTCCAAGACCATTGTGCTCAAGGTTACTGCTAATAGGTTTCCTCAGATTCTTCCATTGTAGCAATTCCATTTCATAAGTTCCCTTTTCTGGAGATGACTTTTTGGTCTCACAATTGGATTCCAAGTCTGTAAGATAATGAGAATGCAAATTCCTGCTGTTTTTGTTTACAAGAGAAATGAAACTTCTAAGGTAAAAATGGTAGCTAAAATGAAAATTCTCCTAAGAATAGAATGGCTTAAACAGTGGTGAAATATTGTGTGCAATTAAAAAAAAGGCACAAGGAGAGAACTTAGAAATGAAGGCAGTTTATAGGGAGGAAAGTAATTAGGAAAACAGATTAAGTCAGTGGTTCTCAAACTTTGGAGCAGATTAGAATCACCAAGGAAGCTTATAAAATAACAACAAAACAACCCCTCTGGAAACAAATAAACAAACAAATGCCTGGGTGGATATCCAATCTATCAACAAATCCTATTAGCTCTCCTGTCAAAATTTATCAAGTATCTGACCACATCCACTGCTACCACTCTAGGCCAAGCCACCCCGTGAGAACTGGTCTCTCTGTTTTCAACCTTGCCCCTACATTTTTCTTCACACAGCAGCCAGAGGAACACTTTTAAAATGAAATTCACATCACATTACTCCCCTACTAAAAATCTAAGAGTTTACCATCTCAGAATAAAACCCAAAGTCTTATTTACCATGGCCCACAAGACCCTACATGAGTTTGCCCTTAGCCACTTCTCTATGTCATCTCTTACCACTCCCCTAATGATTCATTTGGCTCTCACCACAATGGCCTCCTTGCTGTTCAAAAATGCCAAGCACAGGCCCCCAGGTTTACTTTTTGTTGTTGGTTTTTTTTTTTTTTTGGTGAGGAAGATCAGCCCTGAGATAATATCCGATGCCAATCCTCTTCATTTTTTGCTGGGGAAGACTGGCCCTGAGCTAACATCCATGCCCATCTTCCTCTACTTTATATGAGACGCCACCACAGCATGGCTTGACAAGTGGTGCATTGGTGCCCGCCCAGGATCTGAACCCGCAAACCCTGGGCCACCGAAGCAGAGTGCACGCACTTAACCACTTGCGCCACTGGGCCGGCCCCTATGTTTACTTTTTGGAATGCTCTTCCCCCAGATATCTGCATGGCTTGCTCTCCCATTTCAATTTTCTGCTGAAATATCACATTATCAAAACATCCAATATATAATTGCACCTATATTGCATCTATCACTAATGGATATACTATTTTTCAAGTTTGTGCCTTGTCTGTCTCCCTCATGCTTAATCAAAGCCAGGATTTTGTTTCATTCTCTGCTTTATTTCTAGTGCCTAGAACCATAACTTGCATATTGTTGACACTCAATATTTGTCAACAATTTAAAAAATGCAAATATTCCTTCGTTCATCAGAACAATCTCTCCAGCTGCTTCTGATATAAAAGAAAGTTTGAGAATGAAACTTAAAACCTTTCAATGGTTTACCTTTGTACTTAGAATAAAATCCAAACTCCTGTTCACAGCCTACAAGCCCCTGCGTGATCCATTCATTCCTTGATTAACTTTTTGACCTCATTTTGAACCATTGCTATCTTCAGGAACAATGCTCTAACCTTATTGGCTTTATTTAAGTTCCTGGAACATATGGAATTCTTTCCTGTGTAAGACTCTTTCACATGCTGTTCTATCTGCGAGGAAAGCTCTCTGCGTGGCCAGTTCCTTTTTGTCCAAAATGTTCTAACTAATATGCCAGCTGCTCAGAAAGACTACCCCTGAAAACTCATTGGGTCCATGTCATGTCTTTATTCTCTATACCTGTGCCTTATTCCTCATCCTTGTTTCAATTTTTGTAATTCTAGAATATATTTCACTTATTTATGTTTATCTTCCTATTCCTCAAGCTTCACAAATGTAGAAAAAATATGCCTGTTTATAGCTATTCCCCAGAACACAGAAAGCATACACAGGGTTTTCTTTTCCCCTTCATGCATTTTTTCAGTTCTTCCTTTCCAGTACCTTCTATGCAAGGCCAAATGTTCTCATATTTCCTGGGAAGTAACTCTATAATGTTCTATAAATAGTGACAAGTTTACACAATAAAGAAAATATTATGATATTCTGAATAAAGCTGGGAAAGAGGTATAATTTCAAATGTAGAGGAACGCCATCTGATGTGGCTGGAGCACCAGGCACACCCTCTGACGACACTGCATGTAGGCTGTAGAATGTAACAGGGCGGCAGAGGGAGAGAAAATAAACCTATCAGTAAATTCAAGTTTAAACATCTCTTGGTAATAAGAGTCAGAAATCTGAGGAAAACATGCTTTTGCTGAAAAGCAGAAAGAAACTAAACAAAAACAAAAACAGAAAACCCCACACAGCTCAGTTTAACACCAACTGCTGTCAGCAAAATGTACTGGGACAAGAATATCTGGCTTTTACTCTGTTTCTGTCAGAGAAGCACAATGTGGTTTACAAAACACTAGGAAAGAAACCAACTGGAATATAGTGATTAAGGGAATAGTGTAAGGGACCAAATAAATCCAATTTAGACCTAAAACTGCTCTCCATGTTACAGTAATATGATAATAAAAAAGGGAAGAAATATATATCTAATGATTCTGGGGTAGGAGGTACCGTGGGACCACACAGAGTAAGGTGCTAAATGGCAACCTAGTGGGATAAAGAAAGTGAAGATAAAAATGCCCGTCTTAACTGTGCTGAGGGTGAGGACTATGTACGAAAAGGTACTCAATTAAACAGTAGTACTTTTTTTTTTTGAGGAAGACTGGCCCTGTGCTAACATCTGTTGCCAATCTTCCTCTTTTTCTTTTTTCTCCCCAAAGCCCTAGTACATAGTCGTGTATCACAGTTGTAGAGTTGTAGCTCTTCTATGTGGGACGCCACCTCAGCATGGCTTGATGAGCAGTGAGTAGGTCCATGCCCAGGATGCGAACCGGCGATCCCCGGGCCGCTGAAGCGGAACATGCGAACTTAACCGCTATGCCACTGGGCCGGACCCGATAGTAGTACTTTTTATTGTCATTAAATTAATGGATGAATAAATGGGAAAATTGCTAACAGGGTGATGACTGAAGACAACAAAATGAAGTCTGTAAAGCAGAAGTCACTTTGGGAGGCCCCTTTTATTCTTATCCCCCTCAAGTCTGCTGAGTCTATCTCCTCAGTAGCTCTTGAACCTGCTTCCTCATCCCCAACACCACTACCAACACTATGAGGAAGCCCAAAGCACCTCTCATCTGAACCACAGTAACCTACTCAGTAATGTCATGAGACCCTTTCTTCCAATCGGCCTCTGGCAGTCAGAGTGATATTTTAAATATGTAAATCATATTATGTCACTGTCCTACTTAAGATTCTTCATTAGCTTGCAAATACTTTTGGGATAAAATTCAAACTTGTTAGTAGTATTTTTCAAACTGCCTTTGACTGCAACCTCATAATAAGAAAAACATGTTATATTACGACCGAGCATACGCACACAGACATAAACAAAACAAATAGGTCATGAAATAATCTTTGCTACATGTGATGCATTCTGATATTTCATTTTATTTTCTCTTCTGTGTTATTTTGTTTAAGAAACAAAACAAAACCAAAAAATAACAATAAATGCTATCACAACCTACCAGATCACAACCTACTAGAAGGTTCTGCCCGGCCTGGCCCCTGCCAGCCTCTGCAGAGTCACGCCTGGCCCCTCTCCCCCTCTCGGCTCCAGCTGCGAGGGCCTTCTCTGAATACCTCATATACACCAACGGCCTTCAGTGCACTGTTCCCTCTGCCAGCAATGCTCTTCCCTCTACCTTCAGATCCTTACCTGCTTTCCATCCTTTTGGGCTCACCTGAAACTTCATGTACCTTTGCAATTCCTCAGAAGCCTTCCCCAATGCCAGACTCCTAGCAATGCTGCACTGTAATTCTCTCTTGTATTAAGACAGCCCCTCCCCCCACTGCAGCCTACAAGGGACCCCCCATAGCTTTGGGCACTATAGGACCTCCACATCCTGCTATTAAGGCTGGCTTCTCCTGGGACATCTCGACTCCATAAACTCTCAGTGTGACGGTCCCACTACAATAGGAATAAATACCCATCTTCCCCAAAGGGACCACCCAGGACCAATCCTGTAACGCCTGACAGCTCTGGGTATCCCGATAAGCCCGAAAAGCCCTGGCTTCCTGGGTCCTTGAACTCTCATCCATCACTAGGACTCTCATCCCATTCCAGATCTGCACATCCTCTATTGTGACCCAAAGTTCTATTGCACTCTAACCAGTAGGTCTTCTAGAACTCACAGTATACTTTCTGCAACTACTCCATAACCTCAGCCTCCCTTCTAATTATTCTCTTCACCTTCTTGCTCTGATTGAAACCCTGAGCACACTCCTTCCCCTGAACCACTGTTCTCCTTCACCTCACTCCACCCACCCTCTCCCACAATAGACATAACAGACCTTGTTATTACCAATAATGACAACACCTCCAAAAGCTCAATTTCGAGCAACCATCCTTTCTGACCATGACCACCCACATTTCTAGCTCATTTACTCTTGTACCATCTCTCCAATATTTATCGCATCTCAAAGACTCTCCTTTCAAACCAAAGCAAAACAACCTCTCCTTTGATTCAATGGTTCACCCTGCAGCTCCTGTCCATTTACTGTACTTCCTGGCAAAACTTCTCAAAAGAGGTGTCTGTACTTCTTATCTGTACTTTTTTTTTTCCTCTTTCTCTCCCACCCTCATAATTAACATTTTGCCATATTTCCTTCCAGGCTTTTTTCCTTGCACTTTTACGCAGCTGAAATCATACTGCATATACAAACTTGAATCATACTTCTTTGTCCTAATTAGTACAGTATCATTATTAAAAACTTCTAAAACATTTTAAAACTCTATTTGTACCTTTGAGAGCTCCTCAAATGGGCCTTCAACACTGCCTGGTGAGTTAACTCACTGTCCCACTCTAGTTTACTGTTGGCTTATTTCTTGCCCATTCTCTTTTTAATCCTCTACAGTCAGGTTTTTGTTCCTCTCATTTCCAAACCGACTTTGTGAGGGTCACCAATACACTTCATCTTGTCAAATCCAATAGCCGGTTCTCAGCCTTCATCTTACCTGACCTCTTGGCAGCATCTTTCACAGTTAACCAGGCCCTCCGTGGTTAACTTCCAGCACACTGCTTTCCTGATTACTTCCTAGATCATGGATTACTCAGGTTTTTCCTCAATTTCCTTTGATGGATCATTTTCCTCTTCCCAACTAACTGCTGGGATTCCCCATGGTTGAGCCCTTGGACTTGACTTTACCTTCCATCTAAACCAATTCCCTCCATAATCTCATCCAGTCCCATAATACAGAGATTAATCCTATATTCATCTCTTCAGCCCTGACTACCCTCCTGCAGGCTTTCAAAAGCTTATTTAACTTCTCTATTGATATCTAATGGGCGTCTCAAATGCATAACTCTTGACTTCCTTCTGCAGTCTTCCAAGCTCTGATGCCTGTTTTGTTTCCTCCCCAAAGCCCCCAGTACATAGTTGTATATTCTAGTTGTAAGTTCTTCTAGTTCTTCCCTGTGAGCCGCCGCCACAGCATGGCTACTGACAGACAAGTGCTGTGGTTCCACGCCCGGGAACTGAACCCGGGCCACCAAAGTGGAGTGTGCCAAACTGTAACCACTAGGCCATCAGGGCTTGATGCCTCTTTCTTTTTCCAATCCTTCAGCAAATCCTATTAATTCTACCATCAAAATATAACCAGAATATAACCCATTCTCTCCACCTCTACACATTAAACCCATTCCAAGCCACTATTCTCTCTACTGTGGCCTCCTGAACTAGTCCTCTAACTGGTCCACCTGCATCTACTCTTACCCTCAGTCCTTACATAACACCCAGAATGATCTTTAAACAAAGATCTCTTACTCATCTGCACAAACCCTCCAAGAGCTCCCTACCATACTTGGAATAAAATCTCACTCCTTGCAATGGCCTACAAGGCCTTATGTGATCTGATCTCTGCCTATTTCTCTGACCTCATCTCTAATTTCCACTTTCACTCACTCTGTTCCACCCACATTGATCCTCTTGCTGATCCTCAAATAAGTGAAGCTCAGCCTCTTCTCAAGGCCTTTGCACTTCTGTTCCCACTGTCTGAACACACACACACTTCTCCTATTTTTGCATGGCTAATTTCATTCAGGTCTCAGTTCAAATGTTACCTCCTCTGAGAAATCATCCCAGACCATCCTAATCTAAGAACACAGTAGGCTCTCAACAAACATTTGTCAGCTGGAGATACCTATGCAAGTTTAAATAAAAAAGAGCAATTAAAAAAATAGATAAAAGGATTGTCTCTGGAAGAAACCAAAGGTAGCTTCCTCATTAAAACAAATGGGGAATGTAACAGAGAGGAAGATTGGTAAATGGGGGTTGGAAAGGAAGTTCCTTTGGGAACTCATATTGATATCACCTTCCTGCTCTCCCTGGGTCTCAGGTCTTCTTTCCACAGGCCTTTGGAGAGAGCTTCATACAGACATCTCAAATTTGCTGCCACCTCACAGACCAGCTGTAGCACTACCAGCAATAGCTGCTCCTGTGTGACCAGCCCTTATTCACCTGAGCTCCGTCTTCTTGTCATGGCTCTCACCACCGTCCAAGCCTCCTTCCCTTGCTCCAATAAGGAAAACACATCTGGCTTAGGGATCGAACATCCAGCTTAAAAGAAAACAAATGGTACAAGGTCATGGCATGGGAGTCCCAGATTCAAATCCAGTCCATTGGTCATCAAAGAGAGACATTGACAGGAAGCGACAAAGGAAGGTGTGAAGGTGTGAAGGATGAGAAATAAGATGGTACACAGTGGAGCTGTCCACTTCTATCTCTAAAACACTCAAACCTTTCCTTAGGGAATAGAAATCAGAAATTCACAACGAAGGAGGCAGGAAGCATGGGAGGACAAATTCTGAATACTGTGTAAGATGATCTTACCCAGTGAGATCAGGTGGCTGTAGTTCTCCAGCATCACATCCTGGTACAAGTCCCTCTGAGCAGGACCCGGGCACTCCCACTCTTCCTGAGAGAAGTCGATGGCCACATCCCTGAAAGTCACCAACCACTGAAACAGCAAATCTATTTATTATTTGTGAAAATATGGCAATGATTTTCAGGTGAAATGAGAGAAGAAGGAGGAGGGTGTTGAAGGAAGGAGGTGACACAATAAACAACAGGCCACGGCTGAACAGCTGTAACATTGAAGGAAACTAGGTCCTGAATTGTAGTGTCAACGTGACCTCGATCACTCCTATTGCCACAGACAAAACTTCCTATGTCTAATAGGACAAGTCCATCATCCAAAAGGTCTGGAAATAAAAAAGGCCAGATGGATGCAGTTTTCCAATTAAATGAAATATTGTGTGCAATCACATAGCACATTAAGCTTTCACATTCTCAATAAATAATAAATACATTGGCAATAAATATGAGTTCTTTCCTTCTCTCCTCCCTTTAAAGAAAAAGATAAACAAAATTGACGAAATCTTTCCAAACAATTTTTAACAAATCTCTAGGCTAGAACATAGAATTTGGATATAACTTAAGAATTTTTTGAAGATTCAAATTCATAAAGTCACAATATTATGTCACTGCATATAATGGACATATGTATTCAATGGATACTTCCATTTTACGGATGAAATGATCTACTTATTTGGGAGTATTTAAATTAAACAAATTTTTTGTGTATGTGTGAGGAAGATTAGCCCTGAGATAACATCTGTTGCCAGTCCTCCTCTTTCTGCTGAGGAAGATTGGCCCTGGGCTAACATCTGTGCCCATCTTCCTCTACTTTATATGGGATGCAACCACACCATGGCTTGACAAGCAGGGCATCGGTGCACGCCTGGGATCCGAGCCTGTGAACTCCAGGCAGCTAAAGCGGAGGGTGTGAACTTAACTGCTACAACACCCGGCCAGCCCCTAAATTAAACAAATTTTGTAATGTTTTTGAGCTCTGAGAATCTACAATTCTCAAGAGAATATGCATCTGGCAGATTTTGTTTGTTCCTACTTTCCCTGTTCCTAGGCTACAGCAAGCTGATGGATGCCAGTCTAGGTACACATAGGCATTGCTCAGGACTGACACATTCTGGCTGGCTCCAAGGTGAATCTGACTGCTGATCATCCTCTTATTGGTTTCCGGGCAAGAGGAGTATGGTAGGTAGAATAATGGCCCCCCAAAGATGTCCACATCCTAATCCCTGGAACCTGTGAATATGTTACCTTACATGGCAGATGGGACTTGGCAGATGTGATTAAGTTGAGGATCTTCAGATGGGGAGATTATCCTGGATTATCTGGTTGGGCCCAGTGTAATCACAGGGTATTTTAAGTGATAGAGGGAGGCAGAAGAGTCAGAGAAGCAGCTGTGATAATGAAAGCGAGGTCAGAATGACATGATTGCTGGCTCTGAAAATGGAGGGAGCCATGAGCCAAGGAATGTGGGCAGCCTCTAGCAGCTAGATAAGGCAAGGAAATAGATTCTCCTCTAGAACCTCCGGAAGGAACACAGACCTACCAACACCTTGATTTTAGCCTTGTAAAACTGATTTCAGACTCTGATCTCCAGAAATATAAGAAAATAAATTTGTGTTGTTTTAAGCCATTAAGTTTGTAGTAATTTGTTACAGCAACATCAGGAAACTATACAACGGGCAAGATCTCTTCCTTCTCAGGACTCAGCTCCCCACCCAGTCTTAAAAGTCTCACAGAAAATCTTGCCACACACTGAGACTGGGAACATCCAGCAGAAATGCTGTCACTTCCAAGTGGAAAACCTAGGTTTGTAGAGAAGATCAAAGTTTGCCATGTGTCCCATTTAACCACCTCACCAAACCATCGTACTAATACTGCTCTTAAGGGGAGATGTTTCTGCTTCCTTAGGGCTCCTGGCAGAAGACCTTACACGTAAAAAATGTAGAATGATCTGAATAAACATCTAAACACTGTTTGGTGAGGGGAAAAAACATTTAGAGAAGAATGGAGCTCTTTGGTATAATCACTCACTGGAATGGGAGAAATTTGGGAGCAGTTCCCTTAGGGGACTAAGCAAGGCAGAAACTTTGGGGATAAATAAATCTGGTGTTCACATGACACAACAAAATGATTGTACTTCAAGTAGGAAAGAAGAAAGAGCAACTCACATGGGGCATGGTTTTTAGAACTGTCAGAACTGATGAATTTTCTGGGTTCCTCTCCTGGAGATGTGCAGAGTCCAGAGAGGCCAGGGCTGGAGAAGGAAAAAGACGCCATGAGATTAGACTCGCCTCAGAGCCCACAAAATGAGCATCTCGGAACTACTTTTATTTCTCCTCATTGAGGGGCTTTGGAAAAATCTCAGCCCTCCTACAAATCCAGTAGAATCTAGCTACAGCAGAATAAATTCAGGCCAGATTTTCCTTAAACCCCATGATGCTGAACAGGACCCTGGAGGGTCCTAGTTTTCCAGGGCATCTTTCTCTAGGATAGCGGCATGCCCAGGGAGCCCTGGGGAGCACAGCTTCCCCAGGCCCCACACACTAAGTGAGATGCTTGGCTCCCACAGTTTAAGGGCTCAGTCCCACAAGACTGCTCCCGACTTCAGAAGCCAATCACAAATCCCAGGCCATGCGCATTCTGGCTGACCAGCTATAAACTGGGGGCTCCTACAATCCCCTCCTAAGGTTCGATACTTTGCTAGGATGGCTCACAGAACTCAGGAAGGCACTTTACTTACATTTACCAATTTATTATAAAGGATACAGCTCAGGAACAGCCAAATGGAAAAGATGCATAGGGCAAGGTATAGGGGAGGGAGGGTGCTCAGAGCTTCCAATGCCTTCTCTGGGAGTGCCACCCACGCAGCACCTCAACGTGTTCACCAACCCAGAAGCTCATCAAATCTCCTAGTTCAGGAGTTTTTATAGAGCTTAACCTCCAGTCCCACCCGCCCCTTTCCTGGAGGTCACTGAGGGGGTTGGAAAGTTCCAACCCTCTAATCACTTGGTCTTTGTGGTGACCAGCCCAGAAAGTGAGGCTATCTAGGGCCCCCAACCCAAGCACCTCATGAGCATAAATTCAGGTGTGATTAAAAGGGGCTCGTTATGAATAACAAAAGACACTCCTATCACTCAGAAAATTCTAAGGGTCTTAGGAGCTCTGTGCCAGGAACCAGGACAAAAATCAAATATATTTCTTGTTTTATCACAAATACCAAGGCAAAATCTGAAATAAAATACCAGCAAACATAAAACCAACAGCACATTAAAAAATAGTTATGATTAAGTGGACTTTCTCAGTAATAAAAAGCTGGTTTGATATTATAATGTCCATTAATATAATTCACAATATTAATGATTCTATGGAAGAAAATAATATTATCTCCATAAACGCCAAAAAAATTGGCAAAATTCACCATCCATTCCTGATAGAAACACAATAAAAAATAGGAATTGATGACTATCTTAACATGACAGAAACAAGGCAAGAATATCCACTACTTTCACTATCATTTCTCATTGTATTAGATGTATTAGCCAATGAAAAAGACAAGAGAAATCAACACGAGCAACAAGAACAAGAAAAGAATAGGCAGAACTCCCTCCCTCTGAGATATGACAGCATGCCTGAAAAATCCATGAGTTCAATGAAAGATAAAAAAGCTACAACAAATAATAAGAGAACTTAGTAAAGTAGCAGGATATAAAATCGGAATTAAAAGAAACGACCTTTATATATAAAACAATAACCACATAGAAAACACAACAAAAGAAAAGCCACAAAAAGGGTAAAATACCTAGGTATCAGCTTAACAAGAAATGCATAAAACGTGTAAGAGGAAACACTTGAAATACTCCTGAAAGACATAAAAATAGATTTGAACAAATGGTAGAACAATGCTTATCAACATTTTTTTTCATTATTGCCCCTCTGAGGAGCTATTTTAGACTTTTTTTTTCCTAATCACCCCCCAACTATGAAATTTTAATAGGACAGATATACGGTATATGTTTTTATGTACTGTATGTATATCAGAGCTTTATAAATAAAAAGAATAAGCATAGAACTTACTCATTTTATTTGATACAGGTTAAGAGTGACTAAATAAAAATTTTAAGTAGAAAGTTAAATTAAAATAAAAAAGTTAACATTTACCTTAACTGTAACTATTTGCTAAGTAACTTTTAATGTAATTTATTTACTTACATAAATTGTAACATCATAATGCATATGGAGATTAGCAATTTATATAAGTACATAATATACATAATGTAATCAAATTTTTAATATATCATTCAAAACTTTTCTTTTCCAGCAAAAAGTAAAATGATTAAAAAATTAATTTCTTAAAAATTATTTTTAGTGAACTTAACTTTTGCCAGATAGAAAAAACTTTTAACTAGTTGCTTGATCTTCATTTAGATATTGTGGACATTTTAACTTTTCAGCACTTGACATAATTGATGGGTTTGAGAATGTTAAACTTTACCCAAGCCCTGTGATCCTGAAAACCAGCCAGGATGAGAGGGATCCCCTCGCCCTTGGAGTACTGGAAAACAGCTGAATGCAAAAAACCTCCCTTCCCCAAATAACTTATTTTCTAAGACTGGAGGATGACCTCCTTTTTTTAACCTATGACAAGGCCAGATAGACCCTCCAGACTGCCATTTTTTGTCTCATAAATGATTAGGTGAGCTGTTTGACTCCATTGACCAATCTGGACAAAATGCCCACTAACTTCACTTGACCATACTTTAGTCAGGCTTCTCTCCTCCCGGGCCCTTGAACTTCAGCCAACCCTAGATCCTGAGCCAGCAGAAGAATGCAGAACAACCCTCTTAAGAATGACTCCAGCCCCTCCCCAGCTGACCAGAGAACATCCACACAACAGTCCACTCACTCATCCCACTCCCACAGCCAGTTCTTTCTTTCTTTCTTGTTTACCCTCCTTATAAAATTCTTTTCTGCCTGACTTCTGAGGTGCTTGCAGATCTTATGGTCATCAGAGTGTTCTCCCAATTAGTCTCCCTTCCTTTATTGCAGTGATGCTTTGAATTAAGTCCCTCCTTACCTCAGGCCAAATTTGTTTTTTATCTGACATGTTGAATAATAAAATTAACAATTTTTATTTAATCCTCAAAGCCCAAGTCACACACAAAAGCAGGATCACATATAAACAACATCCACAAAGCAGCCAAAGGGCTCAGGGCAGGCTGCCTCTTGTGACAGAACTTCAAGTTGAGCAATCCACTGAGAGAAAGTCCTCCATTCACAGCCACCTATTTGCCATAGTTTTACAGCAAACTGATCTTTTTAGATCTTTTTTGGTAGCACTGATCTTGCATGACCGCAATGTCAATGCTGCTCATGAATACCCAAGACATGCCAATGAGAGAGTCAATAATGAGGAACAAGATTTTGCTGGGTAAACTTGAGCTTTGGAGAGCTACAATCCATTGTAATATCTAAGATTCTGCCCCCCAAAACCAATTTTCACCCCCTTGGAGGCAGAATCATGCTCACTGAGAATACATGGACTAAAATGATATAGGGGCCGGCCCAGGTGGCGCAAGGTTAAGTGCGCGCGCTCCGCTGCGGCGGCCTGGGGTTTGCCGGTTCGGATCCCGGGCGCACACACACGCACCACTTGGCAAGCCATGCTGTGGCAGCGTCCCATATAAAGTAGAGGAAGATGGGCATGGATGTTAGCCCAGGGCCAGTCTTCTTCAGCAAAAAGAGGAGGATTGGCAGATGTTAGCTCAGGGTCGATCTTCCTCACACACACAAAAAAGATATATTATAAAGACTTAATTCTCTGCAAGTGGATAAGATATTTGAAGTATAAATTAAAATATAAATTAAATATGATCTCAATAAAAATACTAACAAGTATGGAGACAGACACATTAAACTTAAATTCAACAAGCAAGAAAATAAAAAAGCAAGAATAGTGAGAAAAATTCCTGAAAAACAAAAGAGAGCAGAGATGTAAAAGATACTATAAAGTGCCTATCATTAAAATACTGGATACTGGTACATGAAGAGACATACAGATTAACAGAACAATAGAATCTCTGATCCCTGGGGAAAGATGGGTTGTTTAATAAATGTTATTGGAAAACAGTAAAATTAGATCCACATTTTACACTACAGACCAGGATTAACTCCAAATGGATAAGAGATCTAAATATTAAAAAATGAAATCATAAAAATGCTTGTCTTAGTTCGTTTGGGCTGCTATAACAAAATACTATGGACCAGGCAGCTTCTAAACAACAGATATTTATTTCTCACAGCTCTGGATGGTGGAAGTCCGAGATCAGGACGCCAGCATGGCCGAGTGAGGAGGGCCCTCTTCCCGGTCCCAGGCTTCTCACTGTACCCTCACAGGGCAGAAGGGGCAAGGGAACTCTCCTGTGCTTCTCTTATAATAAGGGCATTAATCTCATTCATGAGAGATCTGCCCTCATGATCTAATTACCTCCCAAAGGCCCCACCTTCTAATACCATCACTTGGGGCATTAGGATTTCAATATATGAGTTTTTTGGAAAGATAAACATTCAGATCACAGCAATGCTAGAAGAAAAAAATGGCCAAGTTCCTTTTAACTTGAGAGGGGAAAAGCCTTTCTAACTATGTCTTATGATCAAATGGATACATTTTACTACGTTTAAAAACTGCATGGAGGGCCAGCTCCGGTGGCCTAGTGGTTAAGTTCAGCACGCTCGCTTCTGCAGCCGGGGTTCGGTTCCTGGTCGTGGACCTAGGCTGCTCAGTTAGCAGCCCAGCTGTGCTGGCAGCCCACACAGTAAAAAATAGAGGAAGATGGGCAGCCAATATTAGCTCAGGGCGAGTCTTCCTCAGCGAAAAAAAAGAAAAAAAGAAACTGCATGAGGAAAAGAATACAAACACAGACAAATAACAAGTTGGGAGAAAATATTTGCAACTTAAATAAAAAAGGGTGTCTCTTCCTAAGATCAAAAGAGATTTATTTTAAAAATCAAGAGAAAGATAAAAAATCATTATTAAAAATGGTCAAGACACAAAAAGACAATTCATTAAAAAAAGAAAAGCCAATGGGCCACTAAACATTTGAAAAATGTTCAACCTCATTTAAATAAGAGAAATCCAAATTGAAACTAAATTGAGAAGACTTCCAATTCCAATGATGATTAAGATCCTACTGGACTAACTTCCCTATGGAAAGTACTATCAAATCTAGACATAATACAAAAAGCAGCTACCTGAAGGTATTGAGGAACCAACTAAAGCAGTATTCCTGCCCAAAATGCATAACCTGAATCAAAGCAGGAGGCAACATCAAACACACACAAATTGAGGAACAATCTGCAAAATAACTGGCCTGTACTCTTCAAAAATGTCAAGATCACAAAGGATCAAAGAAAGGCCCAGGAGGGGCTGGCCCGGTGGTGTAGTGGTTAAGTCTGCATGCTCCACTTCAGTGGCCCAGGGTTCGCAGGTTCAGATCCCGGGTGCAGACCTATGCACCGCTCATCAAGCCATGCTGTGGCAGCGTCCTGTATACAAAATAGAGGAAGATGGGCACGGATGTCAGCTCAGGGACAATCTTCCTCACAAAAAAAAAGAAAGAAAGAAAGAAAGAAAGGCCTAGGAATTGTTTCAGATTAAAGGAGACTAAAGAGATGTGATAACTAAATGAAATGTTTGATCCCAGACGTAATTCTGGAATGGATCCCAGATCAGGGGAAGGAAGGCTATAAAGGACAGTACTGGGACAACTGGTGAAATTCTTCTACGAACTCTGAATTAGATAATTATTATATCTATGTGACATTTCCTGATTTTAATAAATGAACTATAGTAACATTCCTTGTACTTAGAAAATACACTCATGTATTTACGGATAAAGGAACATGATGTCTGAAAATTACTACTAAATGGTTCAGAAAAATGTACATATATAGAGAGAAAGAGCAAACGAAAAAGTAAAATGTTAATAATTGGTAAATCTATAAGAGCATATGAGAGTTCTTTCTACTATTCTGCGGGCAACTTTTCCATAAATCTAATATTATATCAAAACAAAATTTTAAAAAATCAATTGTATGAGAACATTTATTCTTTTTTTAATTTTTTTGGTGAGGAAGATTGGCCCTGAGCTAACATCTCTTGCCAATCTTCCTCTTTTT